TATTCGGTTCGGTTTCGGATATATCGGATAAATCATTCTTATACCCATTAAGTACTTATGAAATTTTGGTTTCGGTTCGGTTCCAGTTTGGTTTTGGTTGTGTTCCAGGTATCCGTTTAATATATAAATCAAATATAATATTTATATACATAATATCATAGTTAATATGTTAATTTAAATAGAAATATAGTAACCATTCGGATATTTAAGAGTTTTGGTTTCGGATATATTTTGGTTTGGTTCCGGTTGTTTTGCCCAAGGCTAGGAGAAAGTGTACAAAGAGAATGTTTGTCTATCTCCCTGCGCAAATTAAGACTGTGTTCGTTACTCTAGCTAAAATCAGTACTCTCTCTATCGATCTATCTGTGCAGGTTCAGTCATCTTAATAACTTACAAGACAAGTCCGTCTTGGATTGTTGGATAATAACGCAAGAAAGGACACTGTTATAATGATTTCAAGTTCAGAGTTTGATTAATCTTACAAATAACAAGCTACATTTGTCAAGTCTTTTGCTAGGAAAATTTCATGAGGCAGCATGCATAGCATTTACCACAAGTTAGACATATACAACCCACGATTTGAAGTAGAGCAATAAGACTGGATTAATTTAGACATTATTACAACAGGTGCAAGCTTATGGAAATCTCAGTTCTATTATCTTCATCAATTCTATAGAATAATCACCTTATGTTCACATGTTCAGTTACCAGATTTCACATTACGATGCTTAATAAATCAAACGAAAAGAAACCCACCAAATGAAAAACAATAAGACAGACAAGTGTCAAAGGATGTTTTGAAATGGTCTATATTTTGACAAGAAACAAGGACAAGTGAATATACCTCTGCTAATTCCTTTTCATGCTTAGGGATGAAAGCTGTATCAACTGCTTATAACGCAGCTGATAGCACACTAAATATTGAAGAATATTTTTGCTTAGTAGAAGTCCAGAAAAAAAGGATAAAATGTATACCTGGGAACTCAATGTGCCGGGGATTTTGCACATACTTGTCCAGATCATTTCCAAAAGCAGCACAGCAGCCTCACTCTTTGCTTGCTGTAGAACAACAACTTAAGCCAAATCTTACAGATCTTTAAGGGATATGGTTAGCTTTGTTTCTACTTGTATATAAGTACAACATCTTCATCCATGCAAAGTTGTTCCTGGGCAAATTAGGAATTTGATGCAGACCATGGCAGTCCAGGGTTGTCTAAGGGTTAAGATTCTATGATACATTCCTATCAAATATCTGAATACTGGAAGGGATATTCTGCAGAACATTCTCAAGAACAATCGTTTTGAAATTCAAATGATGGCCATTTGTGGATTAGTTTGCCTTGATTTTCATACCTGCAACAGTTTCTGATGGTTCATTAGCAAGCCGCATTCCGCGTCCACCACCACCAGCTGTTGCCATGAAACCAGAAAGACACCAGGTGTGAGATTCAATACTTAATAAATGTCATGAATAAGAAATAACTAACTGAGAATATGTATAAGAAATAGTCAGAGAAACAAACAAACAAAAACTATACTTTATAAATGTCATGAATAACTAACTGAGAATAGTAAACAAGATTGTAGTCATAGGTTCAAAACTAGACGAATTAGCATAAAGTATATGTCCTCAGGCGATAATGAAATGGAACAAAGTCTCAAGTTCCAAGTAATGAATGCATTAACAGAACGGTGATCAGAGGTTGCAGATAATGTTTTTTGTGTGTTTGCTTACGGTAAGATAGATAAGGGATTGCAATTAGTCATCAATGGTTGAAGCGTCCATTGCTGGTTTACAGAGGAAACAAAACTGTCGATGAAGAAGCTTTGTCGTTTCTCGTACCTACTGTTTGTTCTTGTTTTAATCTCCGACGAATATTTAGACGTAACCGAAGGGGGAACTTGAGTGAGAGTGAACTCAATTGAACCGTTGGTCTTTGTGTAGGCTTGTAATGGTTAGGGCTTGGCAGTTGGCACCCACCATCCACCAAATATTCACCAAGTGTTATTATTACACCTATTTTATAAAAATATAAAGATTAAAAAGTAGTTTACTTAAATATAATTCAAGGAATGTTTAAAAATACAATATAATTGTCTTACACATCACTGGACTTGGGTGTATTCAACCTAGAGTTTTAGTTGATCTATATTAAAATGACAAATTCATTGTTATTCAAATAAAATTTTAAAAACTCATTTAAATCTGCTGTTATTGAACTACACATTTCGGAAAGTACTCTTAAATCTACTGTTATTGAAATTTTAGATTGTAGAATTTTTGAGTTTTCAAATAATTTTAGAATGTTTGGGTGGAATTTCCTAGTTAAAAAATTAAAATTAAATCTGATTTTAGGTGATATTCTCGAATGGTTTAATAAAAAATCACCTAAAATTCTTCAATTTATTAAAATCATCTACAAACTCATTAAAATCAAATCACCTTAAGCTATAGATTGAATACACACCACCACTGTTTATATAGACTGGTGATTCTCGGGATCGATATAAATATTTACAAAATAAATATATTATAATAATTAAACAATATGTTTGGAAGCATAAAGTGGAATCATTGGCAATCGATTTTTGTTTGTTAAGAAAATCTAGGGATTTACCATGAACTCTGAACCAATAACATTTAGTTAAGATCACTGTCAATTGTTTGCACATCTCGACCGCAAACTTGGATGGAAGTCATTAGATAATTTATGAATCAATTCTTAAGGAAGATACACACATTTTATTTATTTTCATTCATCTCTTTGAGAATTCATTTTCCTTTATCAGAATCATTTCTCAGTTCTCACACTCTTCTTTGAATAACAAAAAAAAAAAAAAATCTTTGTGCACAAAGAACTCACTTCTTTGAAATAACAAAAAAAAAACTCACCTCCAAATACGTGTAAAAGTATTCCAAATACGATTAGAGCTGGCGTGAGATAACAAAGGTGCGCAGGAGAAACAAAGGTTGTTGACTTGTCACCTCCCTGCGCAAATTAGGGCTTCTCCTTCACAAAGACAGTTCATCACTCAACCTTAAGTAAGTAAAGTACTCTTATCTCTTTTTATCTTAGCAGATTCTCTATCTTAGTACTCAACCCTAACGGCTCAAAACAAAGGTTGTTGACTTGTTATCGATGTGACAGTGGCATCGCAGATGAACTCTTGTAGATAACTTTTGATGTGCCATTTCACCATTTTTTTTAAATGTTCGGATTGTATGTTTCTATGAAAGTAAAATAAACTGACTAAAGCAAGAAGATTAAATCCATTAAATATAATTTTTTAATTTAATTATAATGTTTTAGACTTTAAAATTAACTAGATTTTGATTTGCGCTTTAAAAGCGCGGGTATATTTTTACCATTTTGATAAAATTTACCTAAATTAATTACAAACACAAAAATTTTAAAATTATTTTATTAAATATTTAAAAAAGTTCTATTATAATGTTTGATTTTCACGTAATGTTTCCATATCCGACCCAGATCCATAGTTGAACCGGTACATCCGGCAATTTTTATATAATCCAGTTAAGATGTAATTAAAAATTATTAATTAAAAATTTACGCCAACCTGGTATATATCTTAAAACCCGCTATTAATTTGTATTATGATATCCGTTGATCCGTTAAATAACCCCATAAAAACTGATAATATATTTTGAAAAATTTGTTAAATAATTCATATTTTTAATATTAAAGAAAATTTTATTTTTTTGTAATTTCTTTAATAAAAACTTTCTTGTCATTTGAAAAAATGAAACAATGGCAATAGAAAAAAAAACACAATTTATTCATATAAAAATATTAGTTTCTTTTCGCTATTAATAACCTATGATAAGTTTACATTTTTACTCATTTTATATCTAAAATTTAGTTTTTAAAACAAATTGAATTGACATATCATTATTATGGATAAAATGAAACAGTAAATAATAATTTATAATTTTTTATCGCTAAATAATATGATGCACGGAAATATGATATTAAAATTAAATAGAAAATCATAATTTTCATAAAATAAAAATTATTATTAATCACAAAAATAGGAAATATTATCAGTTACCATAAATATAGGAAATATTAAATTGTTTAATTAATTAAGATTCTAAAAATAAATAGTGGTATTATCTTATAAATGTGATAAAAATCTAGGGGTAGAATCCAAAATTTTAACAATAGAATCCTGCTTTAATAGTATAGATAATTAAAATTTTAACATCAGAATAACAGTGTCTTATCACATAAAAGAAGGTGCCATTTTCAAAAATTAAAAACAGAGATGTGTTTTTAAAATTTAAATAATAAATAAAGGGGTCTTTTTCTTCAAAGTATTCCAAGAAAAATATAATATATTTTTTAATATTTATAAAACCGATTTGCACATTTGTTAAGTTAATAATTATGTGTTTGGTGTACAGCTTTCATGTTACGAACTATCTATTATGCTCAGCTATGAAGCATGGGATGGGGACAGCAGTTGGTTGACGTACCAAATGTAATATATTTGCATCATATCTCATTCAAATTAATTCTGTTTTTGAAATTTGAGTGTACTAGAATGTAGTATTCATTGGAAGCTTTCCATGTTCTATTTTGTCAAACCATTCAACAGGAAAATGCAAGTGCTATTCGTTAGTCTATCACCATCTACTGAAATTCAGAAAAAAAAACACTAGTAGACAGTAGTTAACATCTTCCAGTAGTGATTCTTTGTTGTAAGGGAAGTATGAAATTTGGAATTTCTTTGGAATTTCAAATTTCTTTTATCAAATTTCTCAAACTGTTTATCAAGTGATTCTTTTTACGTTTAAAATAGTACAAAAAAAAGAGAGACATGCATGTTCGTTTTCAATATATCTGGTCCCCCAATATTGCAAAAAACAAACAACAATAATTGACAAGTCTCTTTATCTCTTATCTCAAGAACATTGAGCTCTGTTCTTCTTCTTGTTCTTACTCTTGGTCTGATCTCTTACAAGAAACATCAAACAAATGGCGTTCGCAGGAACAACACAGAAATGCATGGCTTGTGACAAAACCGTTTATCTCGTCGACAAGTTAACCGCAGATAACCGGGTCTACCACAAAGCATGTTTCCGTTGTCACCATTGCAAAGGAACTCTCAAGGTTTCACTTCTTCTTCTTTACATTTTGTGATGATTTCTTGATAAATACCAGAGGTAGATCTAGCAGATATATAAATGTTAGAGAGGACTCATTAATAAGTAGACCTTTTCATGTATTTATGTGTAAAAGACTGTGACACAGATGAATCTTTGACTGGTTTAATGATTTTTCTTGTTGATGAAACAGCTTAGCAGCTACAACTCCTTTGAAGGAGTTCTCTATTGCAGACCACATTTCGATCAGAACTTCAAGAGAACTGGAAGTCTTGAGAAAAGCTTTGAAGGTAAGGAACGTATCATGTGTTTTAACTTTGTGGAGTTTTTAAACTTGAAAATATGAATCTTCAAGTTTTTATTTGTATATTTTAGGGACACCAAAGATCGGAAAACCGGATAGGCCTTTGGAGGGAGAGGTAGTTTCAGACAGCAACCTGTTCTTGATTGTGTTTTTTTTGTTATGTTCTTGTCATTAATCAGTTAACTTGAGCGATCTTTAATTAACAGAGACCTGCTGGTACCAAAGTGTCTAATATGTTTGGTGGAACACGAGAAAAATGCGTTGGCTGTGACAAAACCGTTTATCCAATTGAGAAGGTAGATACAATCCAAAACCTTTATTATTAGAAATCAAATGCGTAAACCATAGCCAAAAACAGTATAATATATTGTAAAACATGTGTAACTTGAATATTAATTACTACTTGTTATGTGGATTCTATGAAGGTGTCGGTGAATGGGACATTGTACCACAAGAGCTGCTTCAAGTGTACACATGGAGGATGCACGATAAGTCCTTCGAATTACATTGCTCACGAGGGGAAACTTTATTGCAAGCATCATCATATTCAGCTGATCAAGGAAAAAGGAAATTTGAGTCAGCTTGAAGGAGGAGATAATGCCACTAAGGACAGAGTTGAGGCTTCTTGAAAAAATAAGAGTTCTCAATCTCTCTAGATGATTTTGACCATCAAAGAACCAATAGTGTCACACTTCATCTGGATGATTTTGTTTCTCCTTAAACTTGCTTTTGTTGTTGTTTCTTTTGGGAACTTTGTTGTCTCTTAAGGTGATCTGTTCACTCTTTGTTGAGTTTCTTGATATGAAACAAAACAAATAGAGAAATAATGTACGTTTGCTTAGGAGAATATACGTATTACGTTTAAACAATAGTTGTTTATAATTATTTTTTCATGAAGGGCACTCTTCTCAATCCATGTTCTTTGCTTTACATGCAGTGACTTTTCCTTTGTTCTCCTTTGTACATAGGTTAATACTTTTTTCTACAATTCTAGGAGCTTGAGTTGTTACTTGGCATAATACTTAGGCCATTTACATATCTTGCAGAGTTCAGGCATTCCAGTATGGTCTTAGATAGTTATAGTCAGTTTAAAGGTTATATTATTTGTTTATCCACTCAAAGCAAAAGGTGGACGTGCCGGAGTGGTTATCGGGCATGACTAGAAATCATGTGGGTTTTGCCCGCGCAGGTTCGAATCCTGCCGTTCACGTTTTTTTTCATTATTATACTTCTTTTGAACCGTGTATACCTCGAATTTTTGTTGTAAATGTTTTTTTCCTTTTTGTCCAATCGTTGATTATTTGCTTACTTTTAAATAATCTGTTATCAACTTATTTATGAAAATTGAACAGAATAATATATTTATACAATGCCTACNTTATACTTCTTTTGAACCGTGTATACCTCGAATTTTTGTTGTAAATGTTTTTTTCCTTTTTGTCCAATCGTTGATTATTTGCTTACTTTTAAATAATCTGTTATCAACTTATTTATGAAAATTGAACAGAATAATATATTTATACAATGCCTACATATGCGTTCAATTATAGATGTCTTATGTCATGGATGGGAAAACTTGTATTCATTCTATAAATTATCACAATATGCAAAACATTATGCGTAATTTCAGTTAGATGTATTGCGTTAGATACGTACAAAACAGACAAATGATATTGTTAATCTATATCCACAAAATAGGCGGTTATATGTACAGCCAAGCGAGTCCTAAACGATGCTATCATTCCAACTATATATTAATCAAAACTTAGGTGTATATACACACATCAAATCAGATTTTACGAAATAAATTTTTGGTATATATACACACACACACACCACCATATCTCAAATGAAGACACATTTATAATCCAACAAAGACCACACGTAAGTCTTATGTTTAGTCCAAACCACCATGAATTGGATCAAGCTTCTAAAGCCAAAGTTCCCTTCTCATGGGAACTAAAACCTGGAGTCTCAAGAAAGAAGAACAGAAGTGGCCGTGATCAGCTACAATGGACGCTTACGCCACCTCCATGCCCTCATGCTGAGTATAGTTACGAAGTGTTACAGAGTCCTCTCGCTGTCTGTCCTTTCACGCCTTCCAACATGGTCAAAACCTCGAGGTCCGGTTTGTCAAGTTTTAGGAAGAAAGACGTTGACCCTTTTCTTGAAGCTTACAGAAAATGTTTAGAGAATAGTCCTATTCGCATCTCTTCTTCCATGGGAAGAAACGTACGAGTTGGTGATCAAGATTGTTACACGACGGGCAACAAGAAGAAGTCTTTTCTTTTATGGCTTTGGAGTAAGTACTCTTGCAAGTTTCGTACTGATGGTTGGAGTACGGTCTCTCGATTCCGTAAATCCAAGAAGAGAATTGATTCCACAAACATATTTTGATATAGTTACAGAAAATCTTTGCTATCCAAACAGTAATTTTTCTACTTATTATCTTTTGTTGACATCATCTACTTGAATAATAAGAAAACGGAACACAAATTTTTTTGCTTTACCTTTGAATGAATTTGTGAAAAATTTACCGATGTGATACTTATAAAAAAACTATTTATAAGATCATACGAATAGTCATTTTACATGAAATTAATAGTTATTTATAGAATAATAGTGTTATCCCAATATATTTGAATGGACACATCATTAAGAAAATAGACATCACAAATCTCTAGTGTCTCTACCACCCAATCTCGGCTCTCGGTTACATGGGACAGTTATCCTGGACCCGTGGATTCTTATTAGTTATTTTTATGTTTATTTTTAAAAGTGAACTTCACAGCAACATGACTTATATATATATATTTTTACCTTTTAAATTTAAATTTATATATTATTTTATGTTTTATTTTAAAATAAACAGGTTTTAATAGTATTGATATTTTTATATATAGAAAATTTAAAATGATTTGGTATATTCTTCGAGATTTAAAATACTGTGGAAATTATCAATAATTCACGACATCAACTTATATATATAGTATATATATGTCATTTGTGAATATTTTCAATAGCATATAATCTAAAAAAAAAATTACATGTTTTATAGTTACACTAGGTGGTTGACCGCAATTTTGTGGATACGAATACTTTATAAAAATATACTATACTATATTTTGATGAAACTAAAAGACATTTTTAATTATTCAAAATCATATGTTAGTTTTATTTGAAGCTAAAATGTTAAGTGTAAATTTATATGAGTTTCTAATATAACAAATTTTCATTTTTATTCTTTATATATGAAAATAATTTAATATATCTTATGGATTTTGGCTTATAATTATATTATAATCTCTATATTTTCCTTAGTTAGTTTTTATAAATCATTATATATATTTCATTTTGAGATCATTTGGAAAATGATATTAATTGGTTCCAAATTACCAATCAAATGAAGACAATTTATTTGAAAATTCTTCTTTGAAAAAACATAAGTATAAATCACTTAGGACTCTCAAATATACATGAGGATTAGGTGGTTACCCATAAATTTGTGGATACAAAATATTTCATTTTTGCAAAATTAATATGATTTTTTGGTTATATATATTCTAAAGAAGTAAATTTATATATACTGATTATTTTCATTATTTTATGACTTTTTAAAATATACAATATATTTTTTAATATTTTATTAGATTTTATCAGCAACTATAGTAAAAAAATTAAGAAATTATTAATTATGTTCCAAATGTCATTTCCTAATTAATACCTCATATAATAAATATTTCTGAATATCATTCAGTCTAATGTTACATTACGTTTGTACATCTAATAATATTTCTAAAAATAATATATGTACGATATCACAAATAATATTTTCTTGAGATTATATGTGCATGATAATAATTGCTGAATATTTAAGGTTAAAAATACAAAAAGAAAATTGCTATAAATAACCAATAAATTCCGGTGAACAACTTTTAATTAAATAATTCAGATAAATGAAAATAATTAGACACACCACACATACATAATTGATATGGTTTGTAAGTTAGATCTATATTATCATTCATATTTTCTTTTATGTGATTATCATACTTTCTTTTGCATGATATTTTATGCAAAAGAAAGTTTTTTACAAAAATTCTTAAACATATTACTTTAAATACGTTTAAAAATTAGTTGTTTTTACAATGATATAGCTTTTTACAGATTTGTTGATGGAAAAGTATTTTATTTAATAGATAAAACTAGTTTATAATTTACTTTAAAATTAAATAATATATACATGTTTTAAAAATAAAAGATAATCAGTAATTAGTAATATATAACATACAAAGAAACTTTTACAATCTCTCTTTTTTAATAAAAATCATTTAAATTTTTTAAGTTTCTTAAACGCACAAACTAATTTATGACACAAATACGAGCATTGATAACACAATTTTCTTAAATAAATATGTTTGATTATTATTTATGTTAGATATAATTTGTTTGGTTATTGATATAAGTTAGATATTAATTTATTTTTTGAAACTGAATTAAGTAAATCAAAAATAAAAAAACTTTCAACCAATCAAATTAAAAAAATTAACTGAAAAATTATTCTATGAATTACATATCATTAATTTTTAATTAATATGTAAGATTTAATATATATAGTAGGATTTAATTATTTTTAAAAGTGATACCTCGACTATAACGTCACTTTTTCATTGAAAATTATTGGAAATTTTTAAAATTATATATTTGAATATTTTTCATATATAGATATATATATATATAGATATATATATATATATATATATATATATATATANAAATATTTTTAATATATATATATATATATATATATATATATATATATATATATATATATATATATATATATATATATATATATATATATATATATATATATATATATATATATATATATATATATATATATATAGATATATATATATATATACAGTGAGTTGAAATATTATAAGGTCTAGATTTTAATTTTTCTGATATCTGTTATTTATTGTATCTACTACTAATATACATATATTTCAAACCATTTATATAACTGTTTTTTGTAGCACCATATGTATTTATATGTGTATTATAAATTATATTATGTAATCTATGATATTTAATTACTTATATAAATAAATTATGTTAAGCCATCTATATTAAAGATGTTTAATTGTTTGATTGGTAACATATATTAGATAAAATAATTCTAGGATTAGCTTCCTTTTTAAAAAATTAATTAGATCAATCAAAATTGAAATAAAATCAATCAATCAAATTAAAAAAAATTAATTCCAAACTTAAATTATGAGTGATATCTAATCAAAAATCACTAAATTGACTTCTCAATTAATATAGCAGGATATTTCTAACTGTTTGAAAATCTCGCATTTTTTATTTTTATTTTTAATTTAGAAATTTATTATAGAAATTAAGTTAATATATATAGATAATGCTTTTACTTTTCTTAATTTACCTTATTTTATTGTTCCCATTCTATTATGAAATCAACAGTTTTTTTAAAAAAAAAATATTGATATTTCAAATATGGGCCTTTAAGAATCAAATGGGCCGATGTCTTATTTAAACAATAATTTTTTTTGAAAGGGAAACTATAGTGATTGATTGAGTGCGCGAAAAGAGAAATGGCAGAGGAGGCGATTCTAGGGTTTCTGAAGAACAACGATGAGATCCCACATTCAGGTGAATTCGCTGACGCACACGATCTTGACCACGAAGAAGTCAAAAACGTCATCAAGAGCTTACAGGGTTTTGGTTACATCGAAGCTAAGGTACGTACGTACGTACCAGTAGATTGTGAGAGGATCTATCTAGATAAGTGATTTAAAAGCATTGTTGAATGTGACAGGCGGTTAGAAAGGAGTCCTGGGATTTGACTGATGAAGGGAAGAAATATGCGGCGGAAGGGTCGCCTGAGTTTCACTTTTTCTCGGCTGTTCCTGAGGAAGGCACCATATCCATTGATGATCTAAGGGTGATTTGCTATTTTATGCATCTTCTAATTTATTTTAGCTTCTTCTTGACTTGATTCTAGTGGTCATGTGTAAAACTACTTGTTGTTGTCTTTGTTTCTTTGTTTCCAGAGGATTCTAGATCCTTCTGTATTCCAAGTTGGAAGTACACAAGCTCCAAAGAAACAGTGGGTTGCTATGGGAAACCAAGTCTCTAGAATGGTATTGCATTCTTTATAGTATTGAATTCTTTTTTATTTGTCTTCTCTTTTTCTGCCTATTATCTATTTAAATGTTTCTGTAGGTTCAACATGTTGAAGATACAGTGAAGGAGATGCTTTTACAAATGCAGCAAGGACAGGTTTGTTTCAGAACTATTATTATTTAGAATTCTCTAAGAGCACCATTAAAGATGCCTCCTGTTTTGTTAAAAACCAATTCTTAAACCTCTTCTCTAAGAGGCAATTCTTGTACCAATTGCAGTTCCCATTGACATATGGCGGGTCATAATTGTTTTTTTTTTTTTTAAGAAAAAAAAACTAAGAAGTAGATTCTTAGGGTTAATGGTACTCTAAACAAGATTTTATTAATTTATAGGGACTAATTAAGTTGTTGGTGTTTCTCACCTTCAGGAACTTGACAAAGAAAGTCTCAAATATCTTAAAAACAGGAAACTAATCATACCCGCAAAGTAACTAACAGCTGCCGCTTTTCATTTGCAAATCGTTTTTCCTTTTGTCATCACTTTGGACATTATTTAATGCTTTCACTTCTGTTCGTTCTTCTTAGGACATGGACGGGCTACTCTGATGTAAAGAAAGGTCCCAATTATGCTCCCAAAAGGAAGATTTTGCCCTCTGATTTGACTCGAGAAAATCTAGAAAAGTATGTACTATATACCCACTCCACTTGTTAATTAATGATATTGTTGTCATCAATTAGTGTCAAATAAGAAAAGTACTCACATGCATGCAGCTGGGAAGAGTTAGAGCTGAAGGAGTATAACTTCAATGCTAAGGGACAACCTCTTAATGCTGGCCATCTTCACCCCCTTCTAAAGGTACTCTAATGTAAAACGAGCTGATGTGTGTGTGTGTGTTTATATAACTCAGTCACAAAGAAATAAGTTTTTAATTGATGGGGCTACCTTTTTTCTTGCACAAGTTTGGAGTAACCATTGCTTTTCATAGCCTGCCTGTCTATTAATTATTATTTTGTTCGGTTTCAGGTGCGGAAGCAGTTCAAAGACATATTTTGTCAGATGGGGTGAGAGACTTTTACCACGTTACTAGTATTAATATCTCCATTTTTTTTGCTGCTACCGGGGAATAATGATTTTTGTGGCCACAGGTTTGAAGAGATGCCAACAAATAACTTTGTTGAGAGCAGGTATCTAAAACTCTCTCTTTTGATACTTATCTCTCTATAAAAGCACCTCTTGTAACTATCATCTTTTTTTTTCACTATCGATCTAGTTATTCAGAAAATATTATATGGATTATCTTAAAAAAATTTGTGAGACAAAAGAGAATTCTCAATTTCTCAACTTTTTTTAATTCCTGTAGCTTCTGGAATTTCGATGCACTTTTCCAGCCGCAGCAGCACCCTGCTCGTGACTCTCATGACACCTTCTTTTTAAAAGGTTGAATCTCTCACTCGGCTGGTATATATATGGCAGCTCAACGTTATTCCAACTCTTTGTTGTAATATATGTTAATCAATTTGGTTGTAGCTCCTTCGACGACAAGGGAATTACCAGAAGATTATGTTGAAAGGGTGAAACAAGTTCATGAGTCTGGTGGATATGGATCGCGAGGGTATGTAACAACTTAACTTCTGATAGTAGTCAACTACCTTTTTTTTTTAATCTCCCATTTTTTCCACTCTTTACAGGTATAACTACGAGTGGAAAAGAGAGGAAGCAAACAAAAATCTTCTCCGTACCCACACAACAGCGGTGTCGTCTAGGATGCTTTATGCACTCGCAAAGGTACTGACTAGGTCTTTTTTTACCTCATTTCAAATTTGGGAAGCTTACAACATTGTTATCGCATTTTCTTTGTAGGGACCTTTCACTCCCAAGAAGTACTTTTCTATAGACCGTGTCTTCAGAAACGAGGCTGTTGACCGAACCCATCTGGCTGAGTTCCATCAGGTTGAAGGTAAATTAATTGCACTTAATTAGCTAATGAGAATTATTTACGGTATTCATTAAATCATTAAAATTCGCACCGTGTTATTTCCTATTAAAAAGTTTCGTCACTTTCGAACTCAGGTTTAATCTGTGATCGTGGTCTTACATTGGGTGATCTCATTGGTGTATTACAAGAATTCTTCTCTCGATTAGGTCAGTTTTTTTTTTAGTTACTTCTGCCACTTGCATCTTTATTTTGATGCTTCAGAGTCACTTAGGAGAAGAAGAAAAAATGGCTTATCGATTGTGATTTTTACAGGGATGTCCAAGATACGTTTCAAGCCTACATACAACCCATACACTGAACCAAGCATGGAGATTTCCGGGTACATTCGAACAAACCATCATCTCTTTAAAAAAAAAAACACAAGACATTAAAAATTATTGTGTCTGCTTGCTTTATCAGTTACGATGAAGCAAAAGGGGAATGGCTAGAGATTGGAAACTCTGGCATTTTCAGACCCGAAATGCTACAACCAATGGGTCTTCCAGATGATGTTCGAGTCATTGCATGGGGTCTCTCTCTTGAAAGGTACAATAGAAAGATAAGACTTTCACTGACATGTTTTTTTTTAATCACAGAAAGTTTGCTGATTCTTTCTGTTTTTTTTTGCTTCATAAACAGACCAACAATGATTTTATACAAAACTGAGAACATCCGTGAACTGTTTGGACACAAGGTACGAGATCTTTACTTACTACAACATATTTGAATAAAAGTAATAGTAATTCTCACTGTATACCAATTTGAATAAAAGTAAACAGTAATTCTCACTGTTATTGGTATACACAGGTGCAGCTTAAAAAAATTAAAGAGAGTCGCATGTGTCGCATAGGAATCGAGTCAGCCTGATTTGGATACATGCAAAGTGCTGTACACAATCTATGACCCTGCAAATTTACTTTTTTTTTTACTCATATATTGTATCAGTTGAAGAAAGATTATATCAACTTGTTGTTTATAAGACATTAAAAGAAGGGGAAAATTGGATAAATACTTCGTAGTGAGATTATATTTTGAAAACTACAATTATTTTTAAGTGAATGACTATAATATCCGATTTAAATTGTTTCAGTTATCTAATATCTAAATCACTATTTTACTTTTTAAAAGAAACATTGCGTTAAAATCATTAAACAAATCAGACATTTTCGTATTTTAAAACAGTAAACAATCAATTTGTACTTTGTTTTCTTTTACAACAATATATACTCTTAATATCTTTATAATATATGATAGTTAATTTACTCCACTCATCGCTTCCTAAACAAACTCTTTGACGTTTCATCGTCATAACCTCTTTTTTTTTTTTACTAAACCTTTAGCCATGAGTCATTAATCCCATTTAACACCTTGGTTTTTTTTTTTTTTGTTAAATACAAGCCATAACCTTGTTCATAGGATCTTTTATAAATAAAAACCAATTAGTCAGTGATAGCATTTTCAAAAAACAAAAACCAACTGGTCAGCTATCCGTTTTACATAAGTAAATTTGTTTCTATGATTCTGGAGCTTGTGCTGTTTTTTATACACACTTTGGCATGTATGTATTATCCCTAATACCAGCCTTATACTGCATAGCAATATTTCTGCTAGCAGATAGTTGTAGTCATTAGATAACTTCATTACTCACTTTAAGATAAAAAGTGGACGTGCCGGAGTGGTTATCGGGCATGACTAGAAATCATGTGGGCTTTGCCCGCGCAGGTTCGAATCCTGCCGTTCACGGTTCATTGGTTGTTTATATCTTTTTTTTTTCCTTTTTGGTTCATTGCATTGAAATAATTTATTTCGTACTTTTAAATAATTTGCTGTCTCATGAAATAGTTGTACATAATAATGTTTTTATACAAATTCCTACATATGCATTGACTTACAAATGTCTGATCGATGTCATAGAGGATTAAACAGACTTGTATCCATTCGAAAAATTATTTAAATATGCGAAACATTATGCGTGATTTTAGTTAACTTGTATTGCGTTGGATACGTACAAGACAGACAAATGATATTTTTATTGTATATCCATAAAATAGGCGGTTATATATATAGTCAAGCGTTTCCTAAATTAGGTGAATATACACACATCAAAACAGATTTTACGAAATAAACTTTTGGTATATATACACATACCATATCTCAAATGAAGACACATTTATAACGAATCAAACAAAGACCACACTTGAAGAGTCTTTAAACAGACACGACTCTATGTTTAGTCCAAACCACCATGAGTTGGATCAAACTTCTAAAGCCAAAATCCCTTTCTCATGGGAGCTAAAGCCTGGAGTTTCAAGAAAGTGGCCGTGATCAGCTACAATGGACGCTTACGCCGCCTCCCAACGACTTGGTTAGAAGATAACAGATGTGTAATGAAGATGAGAGACTCTATGGGAATGTGTCTCTTATTCGAGATGCTCTAAGATACTTGTAACAAATAAATATCAAAGATGAGAAGTTGAAAATAAATGAGGCAAGCACATCGTTCTATTATAACGAAATTTCATTCCACAACCTGCTTGTACACAAGTAGAGATTGTTGGATCATTATAACTTTTTGATCTCGGAAAGATAAAAACACACATAAAACCAACGACACAAGTTGCATGTTTTGCTTATTTTTGAACATATATATATCTTACCTTTAAGTAAAGAGTTACACAGAGTCGGGCACGAGGTGAGAGTCGCCCAAGAGACAAACGCAGTGAGTGGTTGGCTCGACAGTTCTTCGAACAATTGCAATGTGTTTGCAAACACCATCCGCTCCCAAGTCTTGATCATATCTTATGTAGACAGTGACATTCCTTAAACTCTTGAGTACGGTCTCATATGGCAGATCTTCCGAAGTCTCTAACACTACGTCCAAAATCTTTAAATCGGACATGTTGTGCTGCAACAACCCAAGAAGAAACACACTTTATATATAAACAAGAAACCATTAAATATATATATATATATAAACAAGAAACCATTAATTAATTAATAAAAAAAAAACCTACATTCAGCCACCGATCTCGATAAAAGAATACAATTTCCATATACAAGTGAATCCAGTCATGTTCTTCCCAATCTGATTTCTGCAACTGAGAAGCAAACAAAGATGGTGAAATTAAAGCAGCTACATTGTCAATGTCATTCATCAAAGTGTTACCTACCTTGTACAAAAATCGACTTTTATCAGCAAAAGCCTCCTTTGAAGGCCACTTCTCAGGCAACTTCTTGGCATCGAAGAACTGCTTCGGATAAATATCACTCTTGATCCCTAGAGACAAGCCCCAAAGATACATTAATCTATTATAGTTATTAATAAATCAATTACTAGTAAATTAAACCTTTAGGTCTTGAGATAAAACAAGAGAAATCCATCTGGCCTAAATCTCTTTGGTCAACCTGAGTCTGGAAAACAACAAAGGAGGAGGTAGCTGGATCCTGAGCAATCAAAGTAATGTAATACGCCACAGGCATGAAGGTACAAACTAGAACGTATTTCTCTATTTCGTGAAGATGCAAGTTGGTCCCCTGACATGGAAGAGAAAGAGACTAATTAAGAGTTATTACGCAAGAGATGATGGTGGATACAAAAAAGTTACCTGTAGCATATTGTAACGATGAAGTCCCACCTTGGCATAAAGCTGCACTACAAGAGGACAATCTGCTCCACCTTTATGCACACTCATACCACCAAAACGACAAGGAGCACCCTCGATCTCGATATCGAAACCCTAAATATAAAACTCTCAACAATTAGGTAGCAACTAGGAAGATTAATATATCATCAAATTCAATTCAAATCAAATCAAAGTAAGTAGGAAATAAAAAATACATCTGTTTCATCAACTTTACGCCAAAAAAGCTCCTCAGCCTTACGAATGGTCTCTTCTTCTCTTAGGGCAATCTCCTCCCTCTGAGCCTTACAGCGGGCCTTGTGCTTCTTCTCCCAGCGCCGATATGAACGTGTTGGCCTACGATACTCGGAATCAACAACGTTTAGTTGAGCTGGATTACTCATCAATTCATCTGGATTCTTCTCACCAGGCTGATTCGTTTTTATCGTCGAGTCCATGCCCTAATTCTCTCAACTGTAATTTTAGACAACTACTCTATAAAAGTTTCTATTCCTTTTTCAATTAAATCTTTTTCCATTATTAAATTTTAGACAACTATAAAAGTTTCAATCCCTGATTTTTTTTCATATCACTAACAACACTAGACCTGGGCGTTTCAGGTATCGGTTCGGTTCGGTTCTGGTATTTCGGATTTCGAATAATTCAGGTAGGGGGTTAAAGGATCCATTTACTACTTGACCTATTTTCGGTTCGATTCGGTTCAGATAGTTTTAGGTTCGGTTCGGTGTGGATAGTAAAACTAAGAATCAAAAATGCCTAGAAAATTCAATTCTCATTTAGTTCGGGTTTGGTTCGGGTAGTTCAAGTAAATTATCAGTTATTTAAAATAAAATATCAAATAATTAGAACAATTTAGATACAAATTTCAGATATTTTGGATTATTTTGGATATTTGGATAAAATTATCAGTATACTTTCAGCTAGTTCATATACTTTATAATTATTTTGTTATCTTCAACTATTTTTGTATACTTCTAATAGATTTTTAAATTAAAATCATATATTTAGTTATGTTATATATGTATATCAAATTAATATTATTATAAATTCAGGTACCCTTTCAGTTATCGGTTCGGTTCCGGTTATTTCGGATATATAAATATAAGAACCGTTCGGATATTTAAAGGTTTCGGATATTTTAGTTCGGTTCGGTTCGGTTCTTCGATTCTGGGTTTTTTGCCCAGGCCTAAACAACACATTCAAGTGTCAACTACAACCTCTAATCATGTCATGAACTCTAACAAGTACTACTAACTCTTCTATAACTTTCAAACAACTAATTTATTCTTCTTCTTTCTTTTCTTTCCACTATAATTTTTAATTAAAATGAAAATATAATGTAATACTTTTTTGCAAAAAGTTAATAAAATAAAGTGATACTTTTTTGCAAAAAATAAGAAAATATAAAAACAAAATCGGAAAATCAGAAAAATCCAATTATTTGATAGAAAACCAAAACTAAAATTATTAAACATAAGATTATATTTCAAATTATGATTGATTTAGGATAGTATAACCTTTAAATGTATATGGATACTATCTAGAATATTGCAATAATTCGACACATAATCTCATCAAAACTCATGATTAAAATAATTAAATAAATAAATGGTTAAAAATTATTTGCACAAGCTAATATATTACTTATATTGACCGCTAATAATTAATAACATTTACAGTTTGTTATAAAATAAAGAAAAAATGTTGTCATAAACATCAGAAATGCAGTTATGTAGATGCTACTGAACGTACTATTAGATGATAACTACCGTCTTGTACAATTTAGATATTCTAGTAAATATTCTCTTTTAGATTTGTATAGTTTATAGGATCTCTCAACTATTTGTACTATGAATGAACGATGAACGATGAAGGATTTGATCGTGATCTAAATATGGGAGATCACCAGGTACACGTGTGTCGGTACAATTGGTGGAACGGAGAAATTTGTTTTTATACCTTCTACTCCTTTAACGGAGCCTCTACATGTGATTTACTATGATCCTGAAACCACAGCTACACCACAAAAGATCATTATTGACTGCCCAACTCTTCCCCCTTCTAAGCATGTTGTCGCCATCCTGGATTTTCTCGAGACACCAAACTTCAGGTCCACTAAATACAAACTTTGAAATTAGTACAACTTTATTTCATATTGTTACTTTGTCATAAGGACGTGAATCAATTCCCTATTATATTATGCATTTGCTTCAAATTAAAGTTTGTATGAACTGTTAGTTCCAATTTTCCAAAATAGTTCATTAGCAACATTATAAGTGAAATGTTAACATGAGGTTTACTCAATATTCAACAGAACACTATTGTGCTTGTGGTATAAATATATTTTGATACATGTGTGATGTGTCATCAATGAATTTATGAAATGTATGTTTCTTCAAGGATTTTTTTCCACTATATAAGTTTTAATTAAATTATAAAGTAGATACAACACCGGAAAGAAAAATAAAATGTTTTATAGAAAACCAAAACTCTGAAATTTATCAACTATAAGTGTCTATTTCAAAATTATATGATTTATTTAGGATATTATAACATTTTCATCATATGGATACAATATACAATAGAATTTCTATAAATTAATGTTCGATAAATTAATATACATTAAATACCTCTATAAAATAATATAATTTTACAGTACTAAATTTAATTTTTGGTTCAATTATTATATCGATAAATTAATAACTCTATAAATTAATAAAAAAATAAAATTTTGGTGTAGTCATAACATTATTAATTTATAGAGGTTTCATTGTAACTATAATTCGAGACATAATTTCATCAAAACTCATGATTGAAATAATTAGATAAATAATGCTTTACAAATTATTTTCACCAGCCATTATATTATCTATTTATATAAAGTTCTAGAAGATATAAATAAAAATGTATTTATGTAGACCGATGATTCTTATAAACATCGTGCCGTTTTTACCTTTATAAACTCCACTACACGCGGTTTCATTAACTGAGGAATAGTAAAGCAGACAAACCGGTATCTTTCCGTGTGTAGAGAGAGAGAGTCCAATATACATCACCATCGTGTTTCTCCTCCGACAAACACTGTCTGAGACTCCGAGGAAGAGTGAGTGAGAGAGAGAGAGAGAGCGATAGACATGGAGAGCAGCGAGGAAGACGACGACTTGCCCTCCATCGAAAGCATAACTCCTCAATCAAAGATCGATTCTGTTCACCAATCTCTCACCGAAAAGGTTCCTCCTTTATCTCTCTGTTTCGCTACTTTTAGTAACTTGTTTCTTCCTCTGAATCAAATCATTTCCACTTTGATATAGTTTTCTCAAATGGGTTCTTTCGAATCTCACTCATTGATCAAAAAGCCCTAAACTTTAACATAGATTTTAGTAGTCCATGAGAAAGTACTAACCTTAAATTACTTTCTTCTGTTGGTTGATTTGGTAAATGTTAAACATTTCAGGGGATTAGAAAGCTGTGCTGTGAGCTTTTGGATTTAAAGGATGCTGTGGAGAATATGTGCGGTGATATGCGTACCAAGTACCTCGCTTTCTTGAGGTAACACACACTCTACTAATTGCCATTTGATTTGGAAGCTTCTTGTATTGGTAGTGTGATATGAGGATAGGAGAGTCTCTGTTCCACACAGAGAGTTTTCTGTTATAGGTTATATGTAAGAGCGGCATGCTCATATCTTTATGTATTGTTTTTGTGTAGAATATCTGAAGAAGCGGTGGAGATGGAGCATGAGTTAGTAGAGCTACGGAAGCATATATCTTCCCAGGGGATTCTTGTGCAGGATCTGATGTCAGGACTTGGCCGTGAGATGGATGAGTGGAAGCGATCCTCCGGTGATGCAGATGACTCAGATAGCTTTGAGGATAATGAGCCATTGCCTAATGAAGTAACCGATCCAAAGTCCGAGTTCCTGGAGAAGATTGATCTTCTTTTAGCTGAACATAAAATAGATGAAGCACTTGAGGCAATGGATGCAGAGGAAAGAAACAATCCAGAACTTAAAGGAGCAGCTGAGATGTCCTCTTACAAGTCTGCTTTTACCGAAAGAAAGGCGATTCTTGAGGAACAGCTTATTAGGATCGCTAAACAACCTTCCGTTAGTGTTGCTGAGTTGAAGCATGCGTTGAATGGGTTGATCAGATTAGGAAAAGGACCTTCAGCTCACCAACTGCTTCTCAAGTTTTACGCCACAAGCCTACACAGAAGAATCGAGGCCTTTCTTCCTTCATGTTCAACCTGTCCAAACACGTTCCCAGCCACACTCTCTAAGCTTGTTTTCTCTAACATCTCACTTGCTGCAAAAGAATCCGCAGCCATGTTTGGTGATGATGACAACCCCGCGTACTCCAACAAAGTTGTTCAATGGGCAGAGAGGGAAGTTGAGTATCTGGTTCGGTTGGTTAAAGAGAACGCAGCTCCTTCGGAGACGGTTTACGCGTTGCGTGCAGCCAGTGTGTGTCTTCAAGACTGTCTTAACTACTGCAAAGTGTTGGAACCTCAGGGGTTGATTTTGTCTAAGCTGTTTTTGGTGTTGTTCCGGCCTTATGTTGAAGAAGTGTTGGAGCTGAACTTTAGACGGGCGAGAAAGGTTATCTTTGACTTGAATGAAACTGATGAGGGCTTAGAATCATCTTCTGACTTTGTTGCGGTGTTATCTGAGTTTGCAATCGCTTCAGACACGACAATGACAGATTGTAGCATCCGGTTCATGCAAATTGTGCAAGTAAGTTACCTTTCTTAACGCTGTTTTTAGTATTGTCTATGATTTTAAGAGACATAAGTTTATCGAAGCTTTATTTGTTCTTACAGGACATACTTGAGCAGCTAACACATCTAGCTGTGCTACACTTTGGAGAAAGTGTGTTAGCGAGGGTTCTGCAACTGTATGATAAATACATCGACTTTCTAATCAAGGCCTTACCTGGCCATGCAGATGAAGACGCTCTTCCAGAGCTTCAGGACCATACCATTCTCACCCGAGCCGAGACAGATTCAGAGCAGCTTGCTCTTCTTGGAGCTGCGTTCACAATACTAGACGAACTGTTACCAAAATCACTTGTTAAAGTCTGGAACCTCGAGATTGAAAACGGTGGAGGAGATGGTGGTGATAGTAGTAGTAGTCCTTCTCTAATCAGTAGCTCTGCACCGGAGTTGAAAGAGTGGAAACGCCACATGGCTCAATCATTTGACAAACTCAGAAACTACTTCTGTCTCCAGTTTGTTTTGAGCTTTATCTACTCTAGGGAAGGACTAACACGGTTAGATGCACTTATCTATTTAACAGAGACACCAGATGACTTGCATCTTCCCTCTTTACCGTTTCAGGTCACATCCTCTTTCTTTGATCAGGTTTTATAGCTCTTGGTTGATTAACTTTGCGTCTCTCTTCATATGCAGGCATTGTTCTCTAAGCTGCAACAGTTAGCCATCATTGCCGGGGATGTTCTTCTTGGAAAAGAGAAGCTGCAAAAGATTCTACTAGCTAGATTAACAGAGACGGTTATAATCTGGCTATCAAACGAGCAGGAGTTTTGGAGTGCATTCGAGGACGAGTCAACTCCACTTCAGCCATCTGGGTTGCAACAGGTAACAACTCACTCTCTTCTACCACTCTTATGATCAGATTTGACAGTTCTTGGTTACATTTTTGCAGTTGATACTGGACATGAACTTCACAGTGGAGATAGCGAGGTTCGCTGGTTATCCATTTAAAGTGGTACAGAACCATGCATCAGTGGTTATCAATAGAGCCATCAACATCTTCTCCTCAAGAGGCATCAACCCACAAAGGTAAAATAATAATACAGAACACTCTCTCAACATGGACTTTAACTAAAAGTCTATGTTGTTCTTTCAACCAGCTCACTCCCGAAGGCTGAGTGGTTCACGGAAGCAGCTAAGTCAGCTATCAACAGGCTACTCATGGGGTCTGATGAAGCTTCAGAAGCCGAAGAAGAGTATGAGTGTGAAGAAGAGGAAGAAGAAGATGGTCACATAGTCCTCCCTGAGATAGACGATGATGAACACTCAGATTCTCTAGAAACTTCTTCGCTATCTACAATGGACTCGTTTGAATCATTTGCTTCAGCGAGCATGGCTGACCTTGAGAGTCCCAGCTTCACCGATTCTGAGTCCTGACCAGTCTTTGTCTTACGTTGTTATGTTTGTATTATGCTGTTGTCTCTCAAGTCTAAGTTAATTACTTATTTAGTTAGACTCCTTAACCAAATATCCATTTGCAAATTAAATTTCCGGTTAAGGTCGGTTATGTTAACAGTCAAAGCCCATTTGTGGCCCATTTGGTTCTCGAGTGTTCATCAACGATAATAGAAAAAAAAAAATTAAGACATTTGTGGCCCACTTCGTTTGACCGACTCATCTAACCAGATGGCGGGTAAATAAAAAAATTAACCCTCCTCTGTTTTTACTCTCTCATGACGCAGCCACAGAGATTAAAAATCCCTAATTATATACTTTTCTAATAAGTCTCAAAACCACTTATCGAAACCATGTCGGGTAATAGCGGTTGTAAGACATCTTTCTCTTTTTTCTAATATGATGTGTTTAAAAATTTCAATGGGTTACTGGTTTTAATGATTTTATGATTATACTAAAATAATGGTGCTTAAATCTTTTCGTTTTTCATGTACAGTCGTCTTCTGGAGCTTAAAGGATTGCCCAATTCCTGAAAGTCTGAATCCTGGTTCAGTTTGTGCGAATATTAAAAAAGCTCTTGAGAGAAAGGGTTCTGATGGTGCCGTGTTAATCAAGGCATATTGTGACAAGGAAACATTCAGTGATGAATTGTTTGCTAATTATCGCGATGCTGGAATCGACCTCCTTCCTGGTAGGGTTTTCTTTTACGTAAACTAATAACACTCTTTTTATTTTTATTTATTTTTTAACTTCAAAAAGAAAAAGAACTTATATTTCCGTGGATATATAGTTCCTGCAGGTGGTAAAAGTGCGAGAGAGTTTAAGCTGATGTGGGACATGCTTTTGTGTGGAGTGGACAATTATAAAGATTTTTTATTAATCCTAGATCCCTTAGAAGATGAGTTTGTCAATATTCTTTTCTATTTGAAAGTTAGAGGTTTCAATGTTATCTTAGCATCTCCTGATAACGAGGTCGCCTCAGAGTCCATACTTAGGTCTGTAGGCTCGGTTTGGCTTTCGACAAGCCTATTGGAACAAGGAAACCCTGACGAACTATCCAACATCCGCATTACCAACTTTGATAACTTCAATTCACCACAAGATTTGGAGGTATGTAAGTATATTTTGCAACGTTCTCTCTTTCATTGCATTCTCACATATTGTGTGTGTTTCAGGCTTTGGGGACGGTGAGATTGAAGATTGAGCTTCAGTCACGTGGAATGAAATGTGGAGGGACTTTGCAAGATCGAGCAGCAAGGCTCTTTTTACTTAAATCAACACCACTTGATAAGATCCCAAAGAAATTTTTGGCAAAGGGAAAGTATGTATACAAATGTTATTAGCAATGCATTTTCAATTTCCTCCAGTGTATTGGCTTTTCAAACTCTTGTAACTTTAAAAAAGGTGTCTGTAACATGCAATTAGTCCTAGGGAGGCAAATCGCTTAGCTGATGGTTTGGCTGCCCTTGCGTTCTCTCTTCCATTTGGGATTCATAGTTTTGTTGATGTACCGATTGAGGTTGATGTATTGTTGCAAGAGGACACGGTCGGATCGTTTCGGTCACGGCAAGTTCTTGTAAGCTGATGTATGATTTTTTAGTTTAATAAACTTGGGAGTTTTTTTTCTCCCACTTTCCCACCAAAAAAAAAACATGCAATTAGTCCTCTGTGAGACTTTTCTTCAGCTTCTTGCAACTAAACACCCTTTGTTATTTTTTATTTATTTTTGAACGCATAAACATCCTTTGTTAACAAACATATTTGTAGCCAAAATATTATAAATATGAGAACAAAACGTCTTCAGGATTCAGCCACACATGTAAATAATTCTAAAGGTCCATAAGTGCAAGTTAAATAATTACAGTTTTTCAGATATTATAACAATGGATGTCTTTCACACTTTGACTTTATGATCCCTGCCTACAATAGACCTTGAGAGTCTCAGCTTCACCGACTCCGAGTCCTGACCACTACTTGACCAGTCCTATCTCACGTTGTTATGTTTTTATCATGTTGTTGTCTCTCAAGTTAATTACTTTTAGTTAGACACCTTAACCAAAATCCACTTGCAAATTAAATTTCGGTTATGTCAACAGTAAAAGCCCATTTACGGCCCATTGGAGATGACTAGGTTCGCGAGTGTTCGTCAAGTATAATAGAAAAAAATATTATTCCGACCATTGTTGACAGGGAGAGAAAGATAAAATAAAAGAAGAAAAGTCGCTTTCTCACACTCTAAAAATTTCCTTCCGCTCCAAGGCGGTCTCTCACTTTCCTTCTCTATATATATCTCGTCTCCTTCCTCCTCGCTCTTTCCATAATTCCCCTACAGTTTCTCTCTCTCTCTCTCTCCCCTGAGAAATCGAAATCACACCTCTGATTGATTCCAGCAATTGTTCTTCGTTTTCCCCTTTCGTAATTTTTCGTCAGGTACCGACTTTTTGTCCTGCTTAAATGATCTGATTTAGATTTGTATTTTTCCCCCTTTTGATTGATTAGTGTGCTTCAATTATCTGAATCGAGATTATGCGTTAGTAGCTGTGGGGTTTCCATAATTTCGTAGATACGATTAGTTAGGGCATTTTGATATTTAGGGATTATTCGTTTAACTCATAATATTAAGGGATTTCAATTTTTTGGATTTGTGTAATTTTGACTTGATTCATTTTCAATTTATTGTAGATGTGTTTGTTTATTCGGGCTTTTAATGTTTGAAAGTTTACTAATTGCTCAAATCTGAATCTTTTGAGTACAGAAAGTGAACAGTAGGTTTATTGCATCAACAGAGACGACGGAGAGTAGAGGATCCGGTTCTGTGTTTGTGGAGTCAGAGAAGAATATGAGCTCACAAGTCAGAAGAGACAGACCTCGTTCTAATCCTCAGCAGCAAACATGGGTTCCTAGAGGTGCAGTGGTTGTGAATGAGCCTTCTTTACCACCTGCTAATACAGACCCAAGTCCACAAAGCCTTGACGCTGCTGCACGTCCTCTTCGGCAGCGTCGTCCCTCGTACCAAAGGAGTAATGTTGTTGGTCCACCTCCTCCACTTAATCGACAAAGAAGAAATAATGCTCCTGGGATTTTACCTGATAATCGCCAAAGAAGAAATAATGCTCCGGGAATCTTGCCTGATAACCGCCAAAGAGTTGCTGCGTCGAGGACTCGGGGGCCTGTGAATCAGGGGAAGAAGGTGGTTAAGGGGGAGAACGTTGTGTTGACGGACACGAACTTGCCTCAGCTTGTTCAGGAGATACAAGATAAGCTGGTGAAGAGTTCTGTTGAGTGTATGATTTGTTATGACATGGTTGGGCGGTCTGCTAATATTTGGTCTTGCTCAAGTTGTTACTCCATCTTCCATATGCATTGTATCAAGAAGTGGGCTCGAGCACCGACTTCTGTTGATTTGTTGGCTGAGAAGAATCAAGGTGATAATTGGAGGTGTCCTGGTTGCCAGTCTGTGCAGTTGACGTCAGCGAGAGAGATATGTTATCGGTGCTTTTGTGGGAAGAGAAAAGATCCACCGTCTGATCCGTATTTGACTCCACACTCATGTGGGGAGCCGTGTGGGAAGCCGCTGGAGAAAGAGTTTGCTGCAGTAGATGAGATGGATAAAGAGGATCTTTGTCCTCATGTTTGTGTCTTGCAGTGTCATCCTGGTCCATGTCCTCCTTGTAAGGCGTTTGCTCCACCTCGTAGCTGTCCCTGTGGCAAAAAGAAGATTAATACTAGATGCTCTGAGCGGAGATCTGTTATTGTTTGTGGGCAGCGTTGTGAGAAGCTTCTCGACTGTGGGCGTCATAGATGTGAAAGGAAGTGTCACGTTGGCTCTTGTGATCCTTGTCAGGTGCAAGTAAATGCCACATGTTTCTGCAAGAAAAAAGTGGAGACTGTCATTTGCGGAGAGATGAACGTGAAGGGAGAGTTGAAAGCAGACGATGGTGTGTATTCATGCAATTTTAACTGTGGGAAGCCTCTTGGTTGTGGTAATCATTTCTGTTCCGAGGTTTGTCATCCTGGACCTTGCGGGGACTGTGACTTACTGCCCAGTAGAGTTAAGACGTGCTATTGTGGGAAAACGCGTCTAGAAGAGCAGATCAGGCGTAGTTGCTTGGACCCAATTCCTTCATGTTCAAACACATGCAGGAAGCTTCTTCCGTGCGGGCTACATACTTGCAACGAAGTTTGCCATTCGGGTGATTGCCCTCCTTGTTTAGTCAAAGTCAACCAGAAATGCCGGTGTGGGTCAACATCCAGGACTGTGGAATGTTACTTCACGACCTCTTCAGAGATGGAGAAGTTTGTGTGCGCTAAGCCATGCGGGCGTAAGAAAAACTGTGGGAGGCACAGATGTAGCGAGCGTTGCTGCCCTCTTTTAAACGCGAAGAAGAATGATCTATCTGGCCCTTGGGACCCACACGCCTGTCAGTTACCTTGTGGGAAGAACCTAAGGTGCGGGCAGCATTCTTGTGAATCGTCATGTCACAGTGGCCATTGTCCTCCTTGCCTCGAAATGATATTCACTGATCTTACATGTGCTTGTGGAAGAACTTCGATTCCTCCACCACTACCATGCGGGACACCTGTTCCTAGCTGCCAGCTTCCATGCTCGATTCCTCAGCCTTGTGGCCATTCTGCTACGCATGGATGCCATTTTGGAGATTGCCCTCCTTGTTCTGCCCCCGTGGAAAAGAAATGTGTTGGTGATCACGTGGTTCTCAGAAACATACCTTGTGGGTTGAAAGACATTAGATGTAACAAGATCTGTGGAAAGACGAGACGTTGTGGCTTGCATGCTTGTGCCAGAACTTGTCATCCAGAACCTTGTGACAGTTACAATGAATCTGAAGCAGTTACGCGTGTTACATGTGGACAGACGTGTGGTGCTGCTAGAAGAGATTGCAGGCACGTTTGTGCAGCCCTCTGCCATCCTTCTTTACCCTGCCCGGACTCGAGATGTGAATTTCTGGTTACAATTACATGTTCGTGTGGCCGCATATCTGCTACAGTCCCTTGTGATGCTGGAGGAGAAAGCGCCAGCAGTCTTCAGGTTCATTCTGTCAATGAAGCCTCTGTTTTGCATAAGCTTCCAACGCCTCTTCAGCCTGTTGATTTGACCGGAAACCGAATACCTCTCGGGCAGAGAAAGCTTTCGTGTGATGATGAGTGTGCTAAGCAGGAGCGTAAGAGGGTTCTACAGGATGCGTTTGACATCACAACACCAAATCTCGACTCTTTACATTTCAGCGAGAACTCTTCTATGACAGAGATAATTTCAGACATCTATAGGCGTGATCCGAAGTGGGTACTGGCTGTTGAAGAGCGCTTCAAGTTCCTAGTACTTGGGAAAGCCAGAGGAAGCACAAGTGCCCTCAAGGTCCATGTCTTTTGCCCGATGCAAAAGGATAAACTAGACACGGTTAGGCTTCTAGCTGAGAGGTGGAAACTTGGGGTTAGGAACGGAGGGTGGGAGCCAAAAAAGTTTGTAGTGGTTCACGTTACACAAAAGTCGAAACCTCCAACACGGATTATTGGAGCTAGGGGTGGTGCTGTCTCGGTTGGTCACCCACCGTCCTTTGATCCGCTGGTGGATATGGATCCTAGGCTTGTGGTTTCTTTATTGGATCTTCCGAGGGAGGCGAATGTCAATGCGGTGGTGCTGAGATTTGGGGGTGAATGTGAGCTTGTTTGGCTGAATGACAAGAACGCTTTAGCTGTGTTCCACGACCATGCACGAGCCGCCACTGCCATGAGGAGGCTGGATCACGGCTCTGTATACAATGGAGCCGTGGTTCAGAACGCCGCGCAATCTCAGTCACTCAGTAATGCATGGGGTAAACTACCCAGCAGCTCATCTTGGGATGTCCAGAAAGCAAATCCGTGGAAGAAAGCAGTGATTCAGGAGAGTGATGAATCCTGGGGAGCTGATGATTCCCCCATTGGAGGATCATCTACAGATACTCAAGCCTCTGCGTGGCGTTCAGCAACGAGCAACACTCCAATCGTGACCTCAGCTAACCGTTGGAGTGTTCTGGAGCCTGAGAAGCCCAAAACGTTCGTTTTGGAGCAATTGGTTCAGACAGAAGGAAGCAGCAGTTCAGAAGCTGCCGGTAAACAAGTGGCGGAAGGCTCAGGGGAAGAGGTGGTGGATGATTGGGAGAAGGTATGCGACTGAGAATATGACAATGACTTTTTGTACTTCATTTTGCTATGTATTAAAACGGCAGGTTCAGTTCAGACATATAATTTTAGACTTTATGCGTTCACAACAGCTATGGTGAGCTGAGTCTACGCCCCATTTCAGAGCCTAGATGTTATAGTCATTTACTAGACATTTCTGTTGTGTCTTTGACGTTTTGCTTGGTTATGAACTATTAAACTATTTGATTGTTCAGTTGGCAATATTGTGAAACGGCATGTCTTTTGTTTACTGAAGAAATTTCGTTTCTTGATGACTACGTAACACGATAAATAGATTATGAGGTAATAATGTTTTTCCATTCAGTTATCGTATGTGTACTTTCGCTTGAAATTGTGAGGTTATGTTGAAATCAATATGAATTTTGAGGAAAAAACATCTTTTCTGTGTCGAAGTTCGTCCCACTACCACAAAAGTTGTCTACAACACCATTTTAGGCAAATGGGAATCTATAACCAGCAAAGGCCATTGTCCAAGGAAGTGTAAAGATCGAAATATTACATTTCAAACTTCAATGTTCCAAGAACCATCGTAGTTAATCTATAATCGATCAATAAGAATAAGTTTGTGCACATACATACACACATTATATAAATTGTTTTCAGCTCCAACCATGAAAAATATAGTAAGAAGGAAGCTGATGAATCACGTGTACCTAACCAATACATTTTCATATATCCAAACAAATCAATCCGTTCTTCTTCATCTGAAGTAGTACTAAAAGTGTTGGTTTACGCCTATAGGAGAGTTCCGAACACAGCGGCTTATGATGTGCAAGTACAAAGCGAGCCATACCGTGACAATAACAGAAGCTTTAGCTCCAACATACCCAACCACTTGGCGTCCTCTCTCTGTAACCTCTCCCTGCACCACTTCAAAGCTCCTTCTAAACCCTTCTAGTGTCTTCAACATCAAGAATCCAATAATTGACTTCGTGGTTTCCAATGTCACTCTCCCCGTTACATCAAACATAAACCTCCTGTTACTTGGAACCGCTAACGTAGTTGAGATAGCATCGGTCCAACCATTTCTCGAGGAACCACAATCGTCTTCTTCAACCTCTTCTATCACGGCACTACTAGACTTTGACGAAGCTGTAGTAAACACTTCATGAGACGTCCTTACAACAGTTTCAAGCGCACCGTTACAAACCGAAACAAGAACGTCCTTAACACTATCTCCATGCTTAGGATTCGTCATCCCTTCAAAGATCTGATCAAAAGCATTAATATCCATCGTCTTATCTAAATAAACAGCCACCGCTGTGCTAGTAAACCTCTCAATACAATCAGCCAAAAGCTCTCTACACTTATCATCACAAAGCAAACTCAACAACCACTGAGGCGTTGTCCCCCTCCTCTCCTCATCATCATCCTCACCACCACGTGTCACCCCCTCATTGGACCGAAACCCGAGAACAAGATTCTTAGCAAAACTACCAACAACAACAGAGAAAAAACCAGAACCAGCTTTCGAGAAAACCTTATCAACAAAACTCGTCTCCTCCGAACCGTTATTACAAGACTCAGACTTTAACCCACGAGAGACACCGACTGTCAAAGCCTGAGAGACCCTCGAGAGAGAATCCGCAAACTCGTCGGAAGTTGCGATCTTCGCGATCTGTTTGAAGCTGTTCGGGATCTCGTCGGAATCTGAGGTGAGGAAGGAGTTTAGGTCGCGTGAGACGGTGGTCAAGGTCTCGGCTGATTCGGAGATTAGTTCGGCGACGGAGAGGAGAGCGGAGAGGAGCTTCGTGAGGCGTCGTCTCTTTCTGGTGACGGAAGGTAGATGGTAGACTTTGTAAGCTCCGTAGCCGGAGACGCCGGAGAGGGCAATCAAAAGGAGCCATTTTTTTCTCCGGTGAGGTGAAAGGAGGAGACTTTTTAGCTCCATTCAACAACGAAGAGAATTATCGAATCGAATTGAATTGAAAGTTAGGGTTTTTTTTTTTTTGTGGAATTTATGATCCGAAAATGGATAAAAAACGGTTCGGAATCTGTTATTGACCGCAACGATAATAGAGGAGACAGAGGAAGAGGTAATGTCTGAAAAAAAATCAATTTGGCGTGTTGGGGAGAAACAGAGATATGAGTGATTGGATTGAGAGGAGAAGCTTGATGACAAGTTGGATAAACGAAAATTATTTTTAAAAAAATAAATATGTCTATTTCCGGTTCTGTTTGATTGGATAATGAGTTATCTACACGCTTAACGACTTTTTATTATGGAATCTTTTCTGGTGGTTATAAGAAATAGTAAAATTTTATTTTGTTTTATAAGTCGGTGAGTTTTAATTTTTTTTATTCGTTGTGTTTTCTAGCAACAAAATCAAGCATTTGATTGGATAATGAATTTGAGGTGTTTGATACTCTTAAAATATTATTTTTCTGTATCTTCAGTATCCGCGTCAATAGTATATCTATTTTCTGTAACATTAAAATCTTGTGAATGTGCTTCACGGAAATAAAAATAAAGTAGTTTAGTAGTCAAGTATCTGATAAAATAAGTTGCAAATGTTTGTAAGGACATGTGATGAATGATCGATCATATACTACCATTTTCTTATTAAAATATATGTAATAGCCATTTTAAAAATGTTACGCATACATCAAATTTAACCATTAGAATTCGTCGTCTCCTTGACAATTGACATTATAAATTATACACAACAACAACAAAAGGTACAGAAAGTTTTTAATATATGTCTCACGACTCTTACTTAAGAACACATAAAAAGTTACTGAAGTTCATATCCTTGCGACAATATTACATGTTGTCAATCGAAATCTTGTTATCTACTTGAATCTTGAATTACAAAGGATATGCAGGGATATGTTTTAATATTTATTAGCTCTTTCTAGAAGCATTTGATGGTTCTGCTGTCAAACATGACTCCACATGTTTGGTCTTATGACTCTTATCTAAATTTTGTTATTACCTGTGAAGTCCAAAGTCCAAACCCATCAATGTTTAGTTGCCACACTTGCCGTGTTTTGTGTCCGCACCACGTTTTAATATTATTTAACATGTCTATGAAGCTTAACTAGCCGGTAGTAGGGGAAATCAGAACGGTTTTGAAGTTGGATGTTAAATTTTCAGATAGTTTTTAGCCCTACTATCTCTCTTAAGTAAACCATCAGCAAGTTAATGTAATTTCACAATGCATCCATGTTAGTACGATAACTCATTTGCTACAAACTATTTAGTGGAAAAATGAAAATTTACAAACTCGGATCAATCAATTTTTTTTATGTAATGTTACTGATTAGAATTTGATCAGTGGGGCCTTGTGACTGCCTCTCTTCAACACTCTTTCCACAATTATGTTTTGTAAACCAACTGTTTTGTATAGATTAAGCCACATTTGATTCTCTCTCAAGTCTCAACTCAATTATTTCTTCTTAAACACTCGTTTTTTAATTACTTCAGAAAATAATTTCAAGACTCTCTTTATTTAACCACTTCATACTCCAAAACCCCAAACATATCTTCCAGTAGAAAAAAAAACTAAACAAAAGCCATTTCTCAAAAAAAAAAAGAACATGAGAAAGGGAGGACAGAACAAGAACATGTTCTTGAGAATAATCTCAACACCTTTTAGAGCCTTAAACAAGTTCTACGTGAGATGCATCACCAGTTGCAAAAATGAGATCACAAGAATTTAGGGCACAAGAATGAGATCGACATGTTTATACGAGAGAAGCTGCAAAAAGAGAAGCATGAGAGGTTGAAGCAAGGACGCTTGCCGAAGAGCTCGAGCGTAGGGATGGCTTGTGTTTGATTTATTTCTTACTTTTAGTAATCTGTGGATTGATTATGCTATAAAGTTAGAGTGTTATTATTCCACAGGGGTATTAGTGTTACAAATTTNGAAGCAAGGACGCTTGCCGAAGAGCTCGAGCGTAGGGATGGCTTGTGTTTGATTTATTTCTTACTTTTAGTAATCTGTGGATTGATTATGCTATAAAGTTAGAGTGTTATTATTCCACAGGGGTATTAGTGTTACAAATTTTATAATCATAATGATGATCAGTGTTTCACATTCAAAAAGTGAGTGATCAGTTTTTCACTCTACTTTGTTTTGCTATATTCAAGTCAATTTTTTCTGATTTATCATGCGATTTATATAGTTTAATATATATTTTTGTTTACCAAAAAAGTTAAATATATTTTTCACATATGATAATTATGAAAGCAAGGAGATTAGGAGAGGATTATGTCTGTTGTTTTGCCCACCAGTGGCTACACTGCCAACTTGATCTACTTTACCCAATCAAATATTGATGTACGATATGACTATTATGAGAAAAATATAACTTTTTTTTTATCAAAGTTACATTTGATCAAAATATAACTAATTACATTTTAGTCTGAAGATTGAAAATATCTTGTTTTCCCATTTTTAATAAATAGGAAAGAGACAGTCTCCTTTTCTTTCTGTCGTGACATGATGTCTCCTAACTCTACCTAATTGTGAACAAATCAATGTAAAATGCAGTGGGACTTGGGAGACTGATATACAAAAAACATACTATGTCGAAACACTTGAAGCAGAGCATGACACAAAAAAATGATCTCGTGTGGTAGTAGTTGACATCGATTCTCTTTCTCCGTGTTAGTTGTATTATCTATAAAAAGCCCAAACTCTGTATATGATAAAACAAACTAACAAAGCTATGTCTTGTTTTTTACCTTTATCTTTACTTGTCACAAGACTCACAACTGAGGCAACAATTGAACAATGCTCTAAATATAACCATCGACGAATAAACGAACTTATCAACACGAATGCAAACGCACTTGTCCTTCTCAGAAGTTCAACTGATTAAGAAAGGCTCACAAGTCACACCACATATTTTTTCTATGGACTCATCGATGACTACAAGCTTAGTTTTATTGAACTTTATGAGAAGCTTTGCTCAGCTAATCAGAGAATTTCCTAACCAACACAATCATTGGTATACCACACAACGTATTTCACTGACAACTCTGTGAGTAGATTGATAGCAGGATAGATTTGTGCTCAACTCATGAAGAGATCTATTCAAATGCAAAAAAAAAAGATTAACTTGTTACCAAGATGAGAATGTTTAACACTGAATTCATATATTGAGGAAAAAAAAAAAGCTGCTTTGGAACAGCCAAAGTTACATTTCTTCATCACATTACAATCCTATTTATATTACTAACTCACTTGTAAAGGAACCCTAACACCCATGGGCTTGTTGGTATTATCTTGGACTTCTGCCTTGGCTTCTTGTCATAGCTAATAAAGTCGACACTCTTAATTTTGGTTTCTGGATTTTATTTCTAAANAAAAAAAAAAGCTGCTTTGGAACAGCCAAAGTTACATTTCTTCATCACATTACAATCCTATTTATATTACTAACTCACTTGTAAAGGAACCCTAACACCCATGGGCTTGTTGGTATTATCTTGGACTTCTGCCTTGGCTTCTTGTCATAGCTAATAAAGTCGACACTCTTAATTTTGGTTTCTGGATTTTATTTCTAAACTATACAGTTTCCTTTAATTTATTGGTACAGCTGATTGTTATCTGTTAACTGTTAAGATTAAGAAACAGAGATATGTTTATGATCTGCGATCAAATACAGATTCTAGGAATCTTGAGCATCATTGCAAATAAAAGAGTTTGTGGGCCATTGAAGTTTTTGTTAAAACTTAAAAGTACTTACAAGAGGGTCCACAAAAGTAGTAATTGCGCGTGGTCAGAGGATCTTCTCGCTTTAGCTGGCGTCACTCTAATCAAAGTTAATATATTCTGATGAAAATGGAGTTAAATAAGGAATTTTTACCTTTAATTCAACAAACTCCATTAAGTTTTCTTAATCATTCCTTTACTTACTTTCTACGTGTGTCATTTGTTCTTTTACAGCACATGAAACAGAGATTAGGTACTAGTATTTTATGTAGTTGGTAAATAGACAACTATGCACATTTAAGATCAAGATATGATATATCATATATGTAACTTGAAAGTTTAGTGATAAAACTTGATGTGAGGATAGTTATTTTATTCGAGATTATACTGAACAATGATTCATTTTTAACTGTTCTAAATGTGAAATATTATATTATCGGTTAAAATTGTATTAAAAATACTTTTATAAATAATTTATTAATCAGATTTATCTTGTATAAAATTCATATGAATATATGTATATATTTTAAATTGTTTGTTTTCCTCAAAAAACATTTATGCGTATATATCGTGAAATAGTGTGGTCCCGTATTAGGTATTGGAGTAAAGTAGAATGAGTTGGTTGGATCTTAATCATTTTAGAGCATATTATAGAGATTTTTAGTAGCTTTTTAGGGGATTTTTATTACATAGGTTTCATGAACTATATAAGAATCAGTTACAAAAATTATGAATTAATAATCAATTTTTATTGCACTGTTCACGAGTCTTACTAACACATGGTGGTCCACGATTGGTTCGCTTTTAAATTATTATTATTTTGACAAAAAAATTAAGAAATCTAAATGGAATTTTAGAAATAATCATGTTCTTACCTTGTTTGCAATGATGAGCACCATTTCCAGGTTGAATGGATAATTTAATTTCCCAACCTAAGTACATTTGTAAATACATACCTCTTAGAAGGGTACATACACATATTTGGTTGATTTATTACGAAAAAAAACTGAAAAGTAGTGACATACGCCAACACTGTTTTGTAGTTTTTTTTTTACTGAATTTTCACGTTGTTTTGTAGTTGTGAGATATAATTGGATAAACAATACTCCAAATGTTTATTAAAGTTCGAAAAATACAAATAAGTTTTTTAATATTTTTAATATATAACAAAGCATCACTATTTTTATTTGATTAATCTAATTATCATGTTAACTGTAGAAAAATCAATAAAGTATAGTTTTGGCATATAAACAGTTGTCTATAAGACAACCGCGTCTACTAGGCACGAGAGGCCTCTCACTTTTATATAAACGGTTACAGCTAATTAGCAGCTATGATTGTGGATTTGACCAATTAATTTTGAAGTTTGACCATGATTTATAGTTGCTGGGGGGGGGGAGGGGAGTTAGTTGTCCCATGCCCTATAAGAACTAGTGTGTCCAAAGTCTTGTAACACAGCTGTAGCTATACATTTATCTTATTTAGAATAAATTGTAGATTAGATTCCCTTTT